GCATTTATATGAACTACAGGATTAATATAGACCATAAATGAGACCATGTTATAAGCATCCATTTTTTCTTACCATATATTGATCTAGATATTGTTCATAACCTTCACTAGTTACCTTGTAAGCACACCGCTATAACAAACATCCACTTGTTTCTAGCACCAATGGAGAGGAAGAGTAGGACACAAAATGACACGAACCCAGCAACACTTCCCAACCTCCTCATACCAAATCTTCTAAGTAGTGCACATCCAGTGGGACCTATTTGGAAACAATATACAGTGTTTGACATTTGACATTACTGTTCCTTTATACACTCATGTCAACTACAGAAGAACGCCTCCTTTGAGACACCATTTTTCTGGGGATATCCCTATTAAGGGGACACTTTTTTCATGAAACGGGGAAACATATTAAAGGAATAATTTCACGTTTTGGACAGTTTTCCCTTCAAGAGACACCACTTTTAAGGGGAAACTTTCTTTTTTGGTCCCAAATGTGTATCATATGATCAACGAAAGATAATTCCCTGCAACTAAACGGGCCCCTGCTCTAAATTACAGTCACAGCATCCCAAAATGAATTTTAAAAATATATATTTTTATGTTAGTACATATGGGAATAACTTCCATTTATTATAATTCCTCATAAACCACAAAAAAATTAGTACAATTTATATTACTTGCTTTTGGTTTAAAGTACTTACCAATTCCTGCCATTACTGCCAGTTGGATTGCTCCCCAGAAAGACACGAACCCCTCGCTACAATTCATCTCGTAAGCAACTGGTTTAGTAATAATTCCTATGATGATATAGGTTAATCCAACAGCAATGAAATTCACGATTCCGCTAATCAAACAAAATATCTTTGAACGAGTAGTTCTATCATACTTATACCAAAATTTAAACGCCATTTTATAGACAACAGGAACAGAGTACAGGCTATTGACGGCAAAGGTCAGTTCAGTATTTCAAAGTGTTCTTTTGTTAAATGAATCCTCTTGCAAAATTAATCCCACTGTTATTACTTCTTTTGTTAGCTTTCGCATTCCGAAAATATCTCGGCGGTAAACAATTGTGACATGTAAGCCTACCAACATTGGTTTTTCTTCTTTTACTCATATTTTATTTACTTCTACAGATGCTATTTGGTACTACACTAACAGTGGA